GATTACACAGCCAGTGATCCACAGGAGATTCGTGGGAGTGGTTCCTGTTACATAGAATGTATCTGTGCATGAAGTGTTTGAGTGCCTGGTTCCAGGGAGGTCCCTTTCAACTTCTGGGCTCCGTGCTGGGGATCTGGCTGTGAGCTGGCGCATTGGTCAGGATGTACGAGGCCATGCTACATAGCAAACCACCCCCAAATCGCAGGGGCCTCCTAGAGCAGAGATGTATTTCTCTGTCGGGCCACATATCCAACATGTACAGTTGCTCAGGGAGTGTGCTTCCAAGATGGGCCTGGGAGAGAGGACGTGGGCAATGGCTTGCCCTTAAAGCTCCCACCAGAAGTGACACAGGTCACTCCCATCCACATTATGTTGGTGGAAGCAAATCATGTGGCTTCACTTACCTTCAAAGGGCAAGGGAAGTGCAATCATACCACATTCCCCCAGGAAAAACCAGACTATTTGCGAACAGCACTGACAATGACCACAGTCAGCCAGCTTGTTTCCAGATATAAGGAGCTGACAGGCTTTCGTAAGACACAGTTCATGACTAATTTAGTCTAAGTTTGAGCTGGTACAAGTCTGATTTGTGGTCTCACCTGCCATCCCTAAAATGGGAGTGACAAGCTTGAACAGGGGCGTATCTTCGTAATTTCCAATGAACTGGGGTTCAGCACGTGGGGAGGGATTATATAAACACACACTCTCGGTAAATAAAAAATGCCAAGTGCTAGTGATGAGCCACAAGGCCCTCACCCACCTCAGCCTGATGGTGGCCTCGGTCCCTGTGTCTGGCATCACTGGTATTGCCATCTGTCTCCACTCTGGAAGCCAAATACAATTGCAGGCCCCGTTGTCCATGACCCTCCTTTCAGACCAGTGGCAGGCTGGCTGTTACTCGGGCCCCACGGGGCTACACGGACAAAGAGGGCCCCACGGCGCCTCATTTAACAACCAGCTGCGTAGTAGGGCCCATCAGAGATTTCCTGACTCTCCCGGAGTGAGCCCAGAGTTATTTCATTCAGGATACAAGCCAGTGACAGGGTAGGAGGACATGGGGATTGGGGTCATTTGTCCGCGACTCCTGAGGAAGGGGGCTTCCAGGCCGGCTCTTCTGGCTGGGGGCATCTCACTCTCTTCCCTCCCCCCCCCACCTCCTTCTTCTCCCTCCCCACGGAACACTAGGGCAGGGTGCTGGGCGACGGGGCAGCTGTGGGGCCACAGAAGGAAGTGTGGGCTGGAGAGAGGACATTTGTCTCCCTCTGACGCACTAAAGGGAGCCAGTGTACTTAGCAAGTGTGTCAGAGGGGGCGTAAGGTCCTGTCTCAGGCAGGCGCCTCACCTGCCTTCCCAGCACTGGAGCTGAGTCAGTCCTGAGAATAACCCACGCAGTGACAAGCCTCGGGTGGTGGAGACGCTTGGGAAGAGGACTCCACAAAGGAATGCTGTGCATTCTGTCATCTGAGCATCGTGACAAGGCTATGGCAGTGGGTGGGAAACCAAGACTCAGAAGAACATTACGAGTTCATCCCAGGGGCCTCCGCAAGCTAGTGGGAATGCCTAGAACAGAGCTGGGCTCCTGACTCCCTGCCCAGGGCTCTGAGGAAACAGGGCATTGATCAAAGGCCAAGGCCCACGCCAATGACAGATGTACCTGTGTGTGGCAAAAGGAAGGTCTGGGTTGAGAAAGATCTGTCAGCTTGAATTATTTATTTGAGACTTCTGAGGGAGGACTGGGAAGAATGGAGGTCTTCCCTAGCTCATTCCCATAGAGCAGGAGGCTGTAAACAGTGACAGAGAGACAACCTCAAGCTTCCTTGGGCATGGACGGTCAGCTTCAGGGGAAGCCAAGGGGAAGCCACAGAGTGCCTCCCTGAGCAGAAGCAGAGCCCACCTGCTTAGCTCAGGGGCTGATGCCACTGCCCTCCATCCTCCCTCTGCCCCTTCCCGCCAACCTGTGTCAGAACCACAGACCATACAAGCTCCGGAGCAGGACGACCCTCAGAGAGCACCTCTTCTATACCCTAAGGTGACCCTTGAGAGGAAGAGCCTCAGCTTCCCCACCTGTTGAGTCTAGATTTTTTTTTAAACTTTATTTTAAAGTAAGCTCTATGCCTAACATGGGACTCAAGCTCATGACCCCAAGATCAAGAGTCACATGCTCTACTGACTGAGCCAGCCAGGCGCCCCAAATGTAGATTTTTTTTTTAGAAGTATAGGCTGACTACCCAGCAGACACCCCATCACTACCAACCCACCCTAAGTTTGCAGTGTTGTGCCTTGGAGGCCCAGGATCTTCCTGGCTCGGTCTGTGCTGAGAAGGTTCAGCTGGGGCTCCTGAGAATATCTGGGAATGACAGTGCCTCTTGGGTCTTGCTGACATCCCCAGCCAGAAAGTCCCAAGAAGGTCAATACCAAGCCCTGGCTCTAGGATGGCCTGCCCCGACACCTCATGATGCTGTCTGCAGAGGTGCAGACCCCCCCGCACCACCACCACCACCACTGGGACATGCACTCACTTCCCCAGGTTGGAGGAGGGCAGGCCAGGGGTAGTCCAGGAAGGGAGAGACCAGGCCTGGAGCACAAGAAAACCTGGGTCCTGTCCCAGCACAGCCAGTGACTTGCAGGTGACTTTGGCCAAGTCCCAGCCTCCTTGGGGCTCAATTTCCTGACTTTCAAAGTGGGTACACAGCAGCCCTCAGCCTCCCTGCTGCATGGCCGGTGAGCGCGCAATGGGGTGAAGGTGTCTGCTTCCTCCCTACTGGCAGGGTGCACACAGGCAAGTTACTTAACCTCTCATTTTCCCCATCTGTGAAACAGGCTGATAACACTACCTCGTCAGTAGTTGTGAAGCTTGCACAGGTCGGGTTGATCTATACCCCAACAGCTAGAACACTGCCTGCCTGGCCCTCAGCAAGCTCCCTGGCTTTACTACCACTTACTGTTATTTCCTCCCCATGCCACCACTGCGAGGCGACGCCGATGTCCTTAGAGCCCCTCTTAGAGCGTGGGGAAGAAGAGTGGCGGGCTGCCCCTCGTGGCAGCACAAGGGCTTGCCTGGGACGCCCCCTGGATGTGTCCGCACAGCTGGGCTGGCTCGGCAAGGCCACGCCCGGTTGGTTGGTGCTGGGCCACCTTGGTTTTTCTCTTCTCCTTCCTTCTTGCCTTCACCGAACTGGCAAGTAGGACTGGGTTTGCCAAGCAATTGTGCTATCTTGTCACGTATCAACTTATCCCTGTGCCGATTTCGGATCGGCCTCTGCATCTAGATGCTTCCTACCAACTTCTCAGCTCGTGGAACAGGCTCCAAGTGGGGCTCCCTCCGTGCAGTCTGAGAGCAGGCCCGAGGTAAGGCCTAGGCTGTTGCATCAGTACAGCCCCTTGCCATTAGGCCTCAGGTTCCCCCCGCCCCTGCTGCCTGGCCCGGCAACCCTAACCTCCCCATTCATGCTCCAGCCACACAGGCAGCTCTCAGAAGCCTCGTCCTGCACCCGGCAAAGCAAATGCACATACCAGGCAAAACAACTCCCCCTTCCTAAAGGGGCACTCTGTGGCCTGAAAGACAGTAGACAACGTGAGAGACCCCTGGGGGGCTGGGGGGCGCAGGGGGAAAAATGGGTCAGGCTGAGGCTTTCAGTGCCACCTGGTGCCAGAGGTCCAGGTGGGTGGCAGAGGGTCTCTCTGAGCTGGGGTCGTGAACAAATTGATAGGCACTCCCTGCATGGAGCCAGCTGGCCATGCCCATGCCATGGTCCGGACCGAGGTCGTTTAGAGCATTAATCATGCCCAGTGCTGCCTAGCTTGCTGGCATCCTTGGCCAGGAGTCAGGGAGGAGAGAGTATTAATAACTCGGTGGTGATGGGCACCCCTGTAGGAATGTCCTCTCAGATGGGACAGGACGAATGTGGCCGGAAGAGTCTCCCCTCAGCGTCTCCTCGGGCACTCCCCTGAGACAAAGTCAGGATGTCTTCCGGGGCTGTATTTGCAGCCCAGAGTCCCAGCAAGCCTGCCCTTGGGGAGGAAAAGGGAGCGGCAGGTCGTAAAGAATGAGGCCCCCCTTTCCTCCTGCCTCGCCCCTGGCCTGCACCAGAGCCCGGTCTGGTCCCCACTTCCCTCGTGTGCAAAGCAGCGGTGAGAAACACTGCCTTCCTTCCAACCCAGACCTGTTGGGAAGGTAGGACCACCACGGCAATAACGCTAGAAATAATTATGATAAATCACATTTATTGAGTACTTAGCTCTGGGCCCTCGGCTAACCTTTTCACAGGCTGTATCTCAATTTTGTCCTACGTGCATGAGGTAAGTATCCTTACTATTTCATTTTACAGATGGGGAAACTGAGGCCCAGAGAGGTTTGGTAACTTGTCAGAGTCACATGACAATTATGTCGTGGAGCCATGATGCAGACTCACGCGCACAGCTGTGAAGTTTTCCTGTACCCCTGAGCCCCTGCAAGAGGCCGAGCACCCCGACAGCAGGGACTCTGCTCTCCTCTTGGGCCTGCGACCAATGTTCCCAAAGGCAGGCAGGAAACAGGATATGAGGAGTTAAGACACAGTCTCTGCACTTTGGAAGCCTATGGTTGTATTATTTGATTTTTAAAAAAAATGTTTTCATATTTAAATTCAAAAGGCACAGGACGGTATTTAGAGAAGTCTACCTCTCATCCTGGCTCCCCGGAGCAACCACCATTACCAGTTTCTTAATCTGACAGATTATTCTAGAAGTGACTGATGCCTGTTTACAGTCTTGTTCAACTACCCGTGGGTCGTGGCTAGGAACTGCAGGTCCTTCTGCTCCTCCCAGCACCCCATCTCCCTCACACCATTTCCGCCTTCCTCCTGTGCTTTCCAGGGGCCCCCTCCCAGGCCGACAGACAGAGGGACAGCTGTGCTATGACGGTGATACCGGCCAAGAAAGCAAGAGCTGAGGACTCCTGACAGCCCCGCCTCCTGTCTGGGAGCTGCCTCTTCTACCCCAGGCCTTCCTCCCGCGGACACATGGTCGTGCAGGACAGCACGGATGCTGGGGATGCCAGAGTGGGCGTGCGGCTGGAGCCCTTCCTGCACCAGGTCGGGGGGCACCTGAGCGTGATGAAGTATGACGAGCACACCGTGTGCAAGCCCCTCATCTTCCAGGAGCAGAGGTTCTACGAATCCCTGCCTCTGGCCATGAAGCGGTTCACTCCGCAGTATAAGGGTGAGTGTCCAGGCGGCAGGCCGTGGCTCTGTGCCCACCATACCGGGCCGGGCTCGTATGCGCGCCGCCCCCCCACCCCACCCCACCCCACCGTCGCCTCCCCGGGCACTGTGCTGCAGGTGAGGGCTGACATGGAGACATGTCCCTCTCCCACAGCCCCGGTGGCTTTTGCTGTCCTAGTTTCTTTGAACTCTTCGAGCCTCCAGGCCTGGAGTCTGATGCCATTTGGCATCCCTACAAATTAGCTCGAGCCACTAGGCTTCGAGGAACTGAGAATGGAATCAAATGATACCCCGGCCCCACGCTGCTCTGCTAGGGTATCTGCTCTGTACTTCAGGAGTGCCATGGCTGGGTCCTGTGACCAGGGCTGAGACAGACAGGGCAGGCCAAGGCCTCCTTTCCCTCCCTCTGGAGACCCAGGCGAGTGGGAGGGGCCTCAGGCCTGGGTCAGGGCGGGAAGGAGCTGGACCCGACATGGTTAGGAAACCAGAATTCCTCATCCTCTTCTAGTGGCCAAGCCAGGGCCACGGGCTGCCTTCCAGGTAGAGCTGGGGGAGTGGGGCACAGAGCGTGTGTGTTCTGATCTGAGTCCAGGGTGGGTTCTGGGGAGTGAAGGTTGGGTGGGCAGGGCCACCATTTGGGGGCTTGCAGGCAGGGGCACTCTGGGCAGCGGGCCAGCATCCAGGGGGCAGGCTTTTTGTCCACACCCGGCCTTCAGTAAATGTGGCTCACAGGGCTCAGGGCATGACTGCCAGCCGCCAGCCCCTCAATGGGATGAATGCCCAGAGAAAAGACCTCTTTTAAAGGTCTTTGAATGTTGTGACTACAAGCTTCTGCCCTCGAATAAGCATCTGTAGTAAAAGTGACGATAGCATCCAAATCAGTCAGCCAAAAACTCACTTGCATTTCAATGATCAAATAACTGGGAAGGATGGGGCCTAGCTCTATGGGTGTTCCTCAGAGTGGGCTCTGGGATTGACCAAGGCTGGGGTAGGGGTTCACATGCAGATTCCCAGGCTCCCTTCCACACTTGTGAACCAGAACCCCTGGGGTCAGGGCCCAGGAATCTGTATTCAGCATGTCCCAGATTGAGACTCACTGATAGGGGGGCCAAGGCCTTGAGCCCCAAGCACCGCTTCAGTCCCGCCTTGCCAAGACCTTCCGAGAGTCTGAGACGAGACCCATGAGCATCACACACTGCCAGAGAGGGGCGGGTGGCTATTATGCAGCCTGTGCAGGCCTCCCCTGGGGCCTCTGGGGCCGCAGGCCAGGGTTGCCCATCAGTTGTGGGTCACTGCCCAGCTCGTCCGAGCGCCCACTGGAATCAATGTCTGTCCTTTCGCAACTGAACTCAACCTAGCAAAGGGGTGGCAGGGTCTTGCGTGGGGTGGCCTCCCGCCCGCAGCATCTCACGCTTGTTGGACACAGCTCTGGAGCTGAGACAGACTGCCAAGGCAGCCACAGGCAGAGCAGGAAAGTGAAAGAGGCTGTGTGGTCTCCAGGACCCCATTCCAGTGCCTTCCCTGTGTCCTGTCTACACATGCCCATTCCTCTGGGCGGGGGAGAACGACACCCTTCTCGGGCACCCTCAGGCACTGGTCTACTGTCCAGACCCCTACTCTACTCTGCCTTGCAGGCCCGGTCGGGTCCATCCCCGGTACCGCCTGCCTCAGGGCTCTGCTAATTTGATAGATTAACTTAAGCCAAGGCACCAAAGCTACATGTACCAATGGCCACAGAGCATGCTCCAGTCTCTGCCTTGGGGCTTCACCCAGGAGACGGTGTTTCCGCACAAGTCGGGAGGGGGCTAGGTCAGAGAACCACAGGACACCCCACAGGGGAGACCACACAGCCCTGCTGAGGGTGAGGGTGAGGTAGAGCCCACAGACTCGGGTGACACCCAAACACGAGGATTCCGTGGTGCAGAAACGCGGATTCACTCAACAGCCAGAAGGCGGTCTGCGGAGTGCCAAGGGCCAGGCACCACTTAAGGAAGTGCACATCTAGGGAGACGGTAGAGAAAGGCCCAGAACCAGGACCGTCACACTCTCAGATCCCTGGAGCAGGGAGCTGAGGTCAGGGTTCAGACGAGAAACGGTCCCTCCAAGGGCTGCACAGGCTTCTTGTTTCACCGGATAAGAAAAGTGGTCTCAGCTAACCCTCAGCATTCACTCAGTGCCAAACACAACTGGAAATAGTTTCCCTGTATCAACTCAATCCTCGTTAACAACTTTCCGAGGCAGGCACTACTCTTATCCCCATTTCACAGGTGAGGAGACCGAGGCCCAGAGTGGTGACACGACTTGCCTGAGGCCACACAGCCAGTGAGAGGCAGAGCCAGGATTAAAGGTCTGAGGTCTGGCTCCCAGGTGTGGGCTCTTGGCCACCCAGGCCCGCTCCACCAGCCACTGCTACCCACAAGATGGGCTCTTCGGATGCCGGTGCTCAGGGGGTCTGTAGCCCAATGAAGGAGGGGATATAACTTGCCCAGAGTCACTCAACAAGTGACCTCAGGTCAGGCTGCCACAGCAGGGTCTCCATTTTTCTCCCCCTGGGAAGGGCCCCAGAGAGAGGGGCTATTTCCATAGTGGCCACTGTGTGCCATGGAGCACACCCTCTCCCTTCTCACCGCCCTGCACTGTGATGGCATCAGGGAGCACCGGACAGGGACGTCACTCCTAAGGGTAGCCTCCCCATGCCGGGAGCTCGCCCGGACCTTTTGCTGGGCTCCTCGGGCATGGCAACATCTTGGGGCCGCGTCCCTCTGCCTCCCAGTATACCTGTCAGCCTTGGGTGAGCAAGGACATATTCCTAAGTCTGGTTGGTTAACAGATGAGCCAGATTCATATTATAGACGCCAGTGAATAAATGCTCTCATGAGCTTAAAAATAAATACATGACAGAATATTCCCGGAGGCTGGGGAAACTGCTTGGCCAAACCGAAATTGCTGAGATGCTTTGGGCATGGCAGTTGTGGCTGTAAGCACTCTTGTCTGCCCAGCTGGCCTGACTGCAGGTTGAGGTGCCTGGGGAGGGCTGGGGAGCAGGCAGATGAAGCTCTGGCTGTCCCCTGCGCCTCCCCACCCCCCCCTGCGCTCCCGGCCAGGCAGAGTCGGCAGAGTGCTGTGAGCCCACGTCCCTTCAGGCCTAGCCCCATGGACACACAAAGCAAATTGGTCCCAGGCTGGGACCAACACAATTCTTGACTAAAAACCAATCCAAGCCCCAAGGGGGTCTTGATTCCACTGACAGGCTGCTGCAGTAAAGAGCTGGCAACTGGAAACCGTTTGCAGGGCGGCTATCTGCTATGGATCCCGGGCTTCAGAGCAAGGTCTGGGCTGCGCTGGAGAAGGATGTGGGAGAGAAGACAGATAGGTGGAGACACAGAGCCAGAGGCGTGCAGGAAGACGGAGCGAGAGGGCAGGGACAGGAAGTCTGGCTGGGTAGCTCTGACAATATGAGAAATAGAAATGATTTTTGGATCTTATTGGTTTTGGGTTATTTTGCACCCCTGCTCGCCTCCATTTATTTAGACACTCAAATCTGATGAGATCAGACAAGAGTTGGAGCCCAGAGAAGCGGGGGAAGGTCACATTTCTTGTCCTTCCAGGGAGGCCTCGTGGGGCGGGGGCTCCCTGAGACACTGGTTTCTGGCGAGCATGTCACCACAGTCCCACAGCGGGAAAGGCCAGATGGTGAGCTGAACTTTACAAAAGACCCAAAAGGGCCTCGCCCTTGGCTGGCACACCGTCCTGGGCTCCCCAGCAGCCAGGAGGCTCCAAGCTCCCCAAGGACAAGCATGGAGGCCAGCGCGCTCTCCTTTCCCCACGGTGGGGGGCTGGGCTCTGGGGCCTGGTGCTGGCTTCCAGGTGGGCCCTCCTCCCCAGAACAAGCACAGCAGCCCTCCTGCCTGAGGAAATAGGAACGGAAAGGTAGACACCACGTCCTTGGGCTTCTTGGCACTCTCGACCCTTTGCACTGATGACCCTCCCAAAACAGGTTTCTCTGTTCGCTCCCACGGAACACGATGGCCAAAGCAAATGTGATAAGGACAGACAGGAGCGTGCCTCATCCCCACACAAGTAAACACTGCATGACCACACCAGAGTCTCCCGATGAAGCCCTCGGCTCCCTGTTACAGCTTGTTCCTTCTTCCATAGCCACATCTGCTGTGGCCTTTCCCAGAGCTCCCCCACTTACTGTGTGACCTTGGGCACGTCATTCCATCTCCTGAGTCTTGGTGACTACAGGCAAGGGCCTTGCAGGCCTGCCATCACTCCATGGTGACAGACGAAAGGCCCGGAAGCTGGTACACGGCAGTGATTATGACCAACGCAGTTCTTTTCCTGACCTGCCATCAGCCCGCCGTTCTCACGGGCAGAGCCCCTCTGGTGGGCATGCGGGTTCACGTAAACGACAAAATGCCAGGTTCGGGTACGGTATTAGCAGCAGTATCATTATTCATTCCCGGGATTGAGGGGCCTGAGATGAACTGAGGCAACACAGAATTTTTTTAAGGAGCTGGAAAAAACTGAATGTCACTCTCAGGCTGCGAAATTAGGGCACCAGGAATCTGAGATGACAGGACTAGCCCAGAGAGACCGCTGAGCTAGGCACAGATGGCCCTGAAGAGCGACTTGCTGAATTATAGAGCAGCCCTGAAAATGAGCGTCTGCACTGACCAGCCTGAGCGGGGACGCAAGCAGGGAAATCAGCTGCCCTGAGTGCTGGTTCAGCAGAAATTACCACTTGCACTGAGAAAGTGACCAAGCGGCCGGGGGAGGAAATAAATATCTGAGGGGACCTGATCACATGCAGCCCACCTTCTCTCGGTCAGAGTCCCAGCAGGAAATGAGCGGTGTACTGAACGGGGTTTAAGTGAAGAGAGTTTTCAGAGGGACGGCTGGTACATAGAAGCGCTCGCAGGATTAAGGGAACTGGGGGTGATGAGGCACGCAGTGACCAGCACCCCTGAAAGGCTGGGTGACCACCCCTAGGCCTGAAGGGAATGGGGTCACAGACCCAGGGAGAGGGAGGCCACGGAGGGACAGGACCACGGCTGCAGCAGGGAGGGGGCCAGTGGGGTAAATACCTCGGTCTTTCTCCTACCTCACCCCATCTCCTGCCAACATCCTCTGTTGGCCCAACCCCTGGGAAACCAGGGCCGAGGAAGCCATTGGTGCACTCCACAGGGTCAACCTGGCAGGCACAAAGCAGGGTGGAGACAGGTGGAGGGTGGCCTGGTGGGAGAAGGAGCCACCAGAACAGTCACGGCGTCAGCTGCAGGAGCAACAGGGAACCAGGGACTCTAGAGAGCCAGTCGTCGCAAAGCCATCTGTGGGGCTGTCGCCTGCGCCACCAGCAAGAGTACAGCTCCATCTCCACCAGAACTCTATCGAGGCTGGGCACCCACGTAGCTCAGACGCTGAGCCCCATGGGGGGAGACCCACACTGTGCCACCAGAGTGAGAAATCCAAAAGGGGTGACCACAGAGCCGGTGACACGTGTGCCAGACCTAATTGCCAGACCTGGCCCATGTCCCGGAGGAGAAGCCAATTAGCCCGTTTGTTCACTGGGCTTCCTCACGCTCTCCACTCTCACAAGCCGCAACATGGCAGGCTGCCATGCCTTGATCACAAACACTGATGGTCAGGAGTGACTGTAGCTGGAGAAATCCCACAAGTCTCCTGTTTTCTACCACAGAACCATGTTCCGTCAGTAATATTCATGTGCTGTGTGTCTAACTGAAGGAGATGGCAGGCATCCGTGTTAAAGCCAGAGATCGGGGTGCGGGAGAGGTCTAAATGAAGGAAACACAGAGGCCGAGCCCCGGAAGGCTCTCTGAGGCGGGCTTCCTGGAAGAAGCTGGTCAGACAGAGAGAAAGGGAAGGGAGAGGAAGGATGATGGAGGCAGAGGGAGGAATGGGATGGGCCCCCGCTTCCCTCAAGCCACCCTGAGGCAGGGGGCCCTCTTTGTGGAGGACCAGCTCCGATGACCCCAGGTTGGGCCCCACTGGAACAGCTCTGCTGTGACTGGGAAGGTGCCACTGTGCACCAGGGAACCAGAAGGTGAGAACAAAATGTACAGGGCTGGCTTTGTTCAAAGCATGAAAGGGCAGAGAGATGCAATGAAGCAGACCAGCCCAAGGCTATTGTCTGCAGGCTCCGTGGCCCTGGGCTCATTCTGGAACAGTCCCCATAGTTCCTCCTTGAGAGAGGAGTTAGGGAAGGGGGAGTGGGCAGGTTGATCAGTGCCATTAAACTACCATTCGAAAGGATGTCACCCCTTACAACGTGTCCACCAGGTAAATTCTGTCTGGTTTCCCCCCTCCCCTCCCCGTGTGCTCTGCAGGCACCATCACGGTGCACCTCCAAAGAGACAGCCGAGGCCATCTCAGCCTGGTGGCCACCCCGCTGAAGGAGAACCGGGGGCCCTTCAAGGTCTCCACGGAGTCGGCGGCAGTGGCCCTATGGCAGACTCTCCAGCAGACCACCGGCGGCACTGGTGGCGCCCACCCCCTCGCCCAGTGGCAGCTGGCTCACTCGCTCAAGGAGAGGTGAGGGCCACATGGCAGTATGACAGAAACCTAGCAGGGACTAGCTCCACTCCCACCTGCGCCAAGGTCCACAGCTCCCCAAAAGGGCCAAGGAAGTGAAATATTCACAGGAAGGCTCCTTCTAGAAACACCAATGCAACCAAAGAAAGGAATGAATTTTCCTTCACGGAGTTTTTTAGAGGGAGGACTCCGATGTATTTATGTCAGAAGCTGCCACAAACGCAGAGTCCTATACAGAGCAGGCATTCGGTGCATATTTGTTTAATTACATACCGGTTTCACTGAGACCGTGCAATGTCTCCAGGTGGGGGTGGGGGGAATGCAGAAACCCAGAAGAGGTGACACAAAGGAAAAGTGGCTAATGGCAGTCCAAAATCACCTTTCCTCAGCGGCCAGGAAGGGACGAGGAGAGAGGTCAACGCAGCCCCCCGTGGGACTTCGGAGACCAGGCAGTTCGGGGCACCCGAGGTCCCAGAGAGGTCTCCAGAACCTCTGATAATGTTAGCTGACCTTTCTCGGATGAAAAGGACCCTCCAGGGACTTATAAAACATTTATGGGAAACAAAAGGGAGTTAATACAATGAAAGTACCTCCCTTCCCCAAGGAGCACAGCAGATCTAATTAAGCCTCTTGGCTCAGCGTCAGGAAGCAGTACGCATTATCTCCATTTCACAGATGGGGAGGCCAAGATGCAGGGGACAGGAGAGAGGGCGGACCGAAGACCCAGGATTCCCAGCCCTGAGGGCCTTTTGACGTCTCAAGGACATAACGACCCGGCACGCTCACGGCCTAAACTCCCAGCCTTCTGATTCCAGGCAGGGTCGCTTGTCCCCACACCGCATCACCTCGATAGTGCAAGCGGAACCCAGATCGCTTACAAGTGAATTTAACCACCCCCACCCCCACCCTCTAAGGAGGCGACATGCTCTAAGGAGTTCTTCTGGGGTTCGGAGAGCCGCCCTGCCAGGGCTGCAGTGTGGCCTGATCTGGTGCCCAGGGCCTGAATGGGGCAGGAGGGGCACTCCGACGCCCTGCAGGCAGTGCGGAGAGCAGCCAGGGACAGTCCGTGTCAGAGCCCAGCCCAGGAGAGCCCCGCCCCAGGGACTCCGGCCAGGCTGCCCTGACTGTGGTGCGCCTCCCTCTCCCGCAGCCCCACCACGTCGCTCCTGAGGTCTGACTTCCACCTCAACGCCCCGGTCTCCTCACTGGTGGAAGACGCTAAAGGGAACCAGGCCGAGAGGAGGAGCTTCAACCCGTGGGGCCTGCAGTGCCACCAGGCCCACCTGACCCGCCTGTGCACCGAGTACCCGGAGAACCAGCGGCACCGTATCCCCGTCAGAGGGCGGGGGACCAGAGGGGGGTGACAGAGACAGACGGGGGCACAGGGGCGGGAGGGGAAGACACAGACACGGGGCAAGGGGAGGGGTGGGCGGGGAGAGACCGATAGGAGGGAGACGTTGAGGCACAGGCCCTCAAACCTAGGACCTAGAAGAAATCTGATCTCTCCAAAAGAGAAAGCAAAGAATATGGGGCAAGTCAGACTGGGAACTAAGTTGAACACAGTGCCCGTGGCCAGGCCACTGGCTGTGTCGCTGCCACCTGGGCAGAGGGGCTGGGCTGGGGGTCTCTGTGGGCAGAGAGGAATGATGACAGCCATGCTGGGTGGGGGTGGCAGGGGGCTCGGAGGGCTGGGTGGGTTCCCCACACCCCAGCCTCCCTTCTAGCCCTCCAAATTCTCCCCACAGATGTCTTCCTATGGAGCTGATGGGGTGAGGGGGTGTGGTGCTCCCCTCAGGGAAGTGCCCAAGCGGGAGACTTGGGGGAGGTGCTCCCCGCTCATCCTCAGGCTGCCATGTTCTCAGTGAGTACATTTAGGCTTGAAATACCCCTTTGTCAGTGCTGGGCTCCTTCCTGCAAACGGGTGACTGGTTTCACAGTATTTACTAAGACACATCTGCAACCCTAATCCCTAAGAAGCTTTTGCAGCATAATTACTCCACTAAAATTAATATTCCTGCAACTCATCTCCAAAGCTAACATCAACCCACTTCTCCCAAAAGGTATTGGCCCATTCAGTGACTCGAGGTTTTAGCCTTATGATTTTCTGCCATAAAATGTAAATTGGGCACGGCCTGCCAGGGATTTCACGCCTGCATTTAAATTCCAACCTCAGAGCAAAAAGGAAAAGGAAAAGAAGCTCACATAGTCATAAAGTCCCCCTAAATAAATGGACTTATTAAAGCAGCCTGCAAAGCTAATACTTTGAATTCTCAAGGGGGGCAATGGGCTTGTCTGTGAGGAGCTGGGGGAGAAGGAACGACGCTCAGAGGAGGGGGCTCCAGGCAGCCGCCAAGGCGCGCTAACTGCCTCCATAGGGGCCTCAGTCTTCGTGTCCACAGAGTCTTCCTGAACTCAGCGTGACCAGGGTTTCTGTTGCTGGAAAATGTCGTGTCACGGTACAAGCACCCCTGTATCCTGGACCTGAAGATGGGGACCCGGCAGCACGGAGATGACGCGTCCGAAGAGAAGAAGGCCCGCCACATGAGGAAGTGTGCGCAGAGCACCTCGGCCTGCCTGGGCGTGCGCATCTGTGGCATGCAGGTAGGTGGCAGAGGGCCCGCCGCAGGGCTGGGCGTCCTGGCATGTCCACTGCAGGGCAGGGGTGTCTCCCAAGCAGACACCACTGCCCACAGAGCCAGCCACACAGGAGGCAGCCGGGCACAGCCCTCCCACACAGGAAAGGCAGATCCCACTCTAGGACACACTGGGATTTCTGTAAGAGCCCCATTCACGACCATGGTGCCAAAAAGCTGCCATTTTTTTTTTTTTTTTTTTAACTCGGTCTCAGGGTCTCCGGCAGCTGAAACTTCCCAGTGGCCACGTGGGGCCTGTCCACGTTGAGAGCAGACCTCTGGTGACAGTGTGTGAGCAGGGGCTGGGGAGAGAACTGAAAAAGAGCTTCTCTGTGCACTCCATGGCTTCTTCAGTCTCTTGAAGGATGCAGCTGAACCCTCTCCTTCTCAGGTGCCATAAGGCACTCTGCTCTTTGAATTCTTATTAGCCATTCCTTCTTCCTACGCCACGTCTTCTGCTTCTTCTTGCTATCTGTTCTGGTTAATGAAGTGGGAAGGTCGTAGCCTGCTCAGCTGAGGCAAAGGAATGGTTAATTTTTTTATTGCCCAGACTCTACCCCATTTTTGCAGCTCTGATGTGGCTCGTGGCAGGGGCTGCAGAACGGGAAGAGATAAACTTTCCCCACTCGTTCGCTCTTAGCATCTATCTCCTCAAAGCAAAACCAGACACTGGTTTGACGGTACACATTAAAGCTTTCCTTAATTGAAACTGCCACCCCTTGAAGCTGGGAGTGGAGTCTATAAATTTGTTGCACAGATGTCCCCTGGAAGGCTGGGAATGCAGTCCTCAAGAGAATGGAGTGTGATGGTTTGGGGTGTAAATGGAATCTCTCTCCGGACCTCCAATCTTCTGAAAATGATCTGATTTATTTAGACAGTGACGCCTGTCATGTATTTATGACGGCTAATTTAACAGCCCATCTCCAGCCCTCCAAAGCAAGTCTATGATAGCTTTCTGATTTTTTTTCCCCACACTGGTTTTCTACAAACATGCCACATAATCGGAAGGCAGGAAAGACCTGAGAAACTGTCTTGGCCAGGTATGGGCTGCCCTTCCCAGGTATGCCAGACAGAAGTGAGCCAAGTCATGGCCATGCCAGCCACTGGCCTCAGTACAGCCTCTGTCTCTGCCTGTGCCATCTGAATGAAACGGGAGCGGCTGCCACTGTCCCCCCAGCAGCATTTCCTCCATCTGCTCCCTTCTGGTGGCCAAGACATGACAGGGGAGGGGGAGAGGAGCTGGTGCCAAGGAGAAGCCACCAGCCCCACAGAGCTGCTGCGAACCTCCCCGTTCCATCCAGGCTCCCCTCAGCTGCACTGGCTGCCTGAAAACCCCATCCCTACCTCATCCAGCCTTTTTATCTTATCTTCAGCCAACCCTGCTTTACCCCAAGAGCCATTTCCTTAGAATCTGCAGAGAAAGGACTTTATAAACTTCACTGGGGAAAACTGAATCTAGTTGGCTTTCCAAGGCCACTGGCTGTGATCTCAGATTCCTACTAAAGCGTTCTAGCTTGTGTTTGCTAATATTTGAATTGAAGAAGGCCAAGAGCCAGGGTTTAAAATCATGATTTGGAGGATGACACTGGGAATTCATAAGAAAGGCGATCCAAAGCTTTTCCTTATGGGCGGAGGGTCACCTTTGTGGGGTGAAGGATATGTAGAGCTTGGATTCCTATTAAGGGCTTGCACAGAAAGCATTTTAAAATGTGAAAGTTCCCCAGGTGCTTGATGAAAGATCATCCTTCCATTCATTTCAGCCATTCTTGCCCTGCATCTCCTGGAAATCTGTTTATATATCATGTTAGCTTATAACACTGCAACCATAGCAGTTGCCAAGTTTCTTCTTGAGTTGGCAATTCTTCACGTCTTCTTTCTCTTTTTATTACCAGGTTTATCAAGTTGATAAGAAGCACTTTCTCTGCAAAGACAAGTACTATGGAAGAAAACTCTCCATCGAGGGCTTCCGACAAGCCCTCCATCAGTTCCTGCATGACGGAACCCGCTTCCGGACAGAGCTCCTGGAGCCCATACAGCGCCAGCTCCAGGCCCTCCTCTCAGTCATTAGAAGCCAGAGTTCGTACCGGTTCTACTCCAGCTCTCTCCTCATCATCTATGATGGGCAGGAGCTGCCAGAAAGGACCCTGGGGGGCCTGCATCCTCAGGAGGCGGCTCCACAGACGGCCCACAGCAGCTCTTCCGGAAGTCTCACCAAAGTTGACATCCGGATGATCGACTTTGCTCATACAACATACAAAGGCTCCTGGAACGAGCACACCACTTATGATGGACCAGATCCAGGCTATATTTTTGGCCTAGAAAACCTCATCCAGATCCTGCAGGATATTCAAGAGGGAGAATGAGGCTTGTTGGGCCTATCCAGATTTTTCTGGACTATAATTCTCAAAAGGGACCTACTGGTAGCCAGGGTACTCCAGACACTGTTAGATGTCTTTGTCATAATTATATCCACATTGAAAAGCCACACATGGCAGGGTATATTAATGGCGGTTACGGAAACCAGCTCTGGAGGTAATTCCCGTACTCTGGCATCTTCTGCTAATGCCGGTCTTCGGAGGCTGGACAGTCGGTGTGAAACGGCACCATCGTGGAGTACACTGGAGGGCCGCGGCACGAGGGAGAAGCCAGCATTACAGTGAGATTCTGGAGAATTTGCATTTAAAAATGCTTTTTTGTTGTCACGCTGAAGTCTTGGCAAGCTGTGAGGCATAAACTCTACTTGAAGACGACTAGAAGAGTGAGTTCACAAGTGTATGGTTTTTCTGCTCGCATGGGCTGCCCACCCCAAGAGCAGACAGAGCTCATGAATGACTGTCTCTTATCTTCCTAAGAGGCATTTAGGTGGGTCAAGAAGTGGGACAGATCTGCCCATCTCACCAGCTTCCTACCCAGGGTCTGAATGGGCAAGGGCAATCCAGACACAGCCCTGGCAAATCGAGCGAGGGTCTCTTTCTAGACGTCCAAGTACCTATTGGAAGTGATGCCTCTGCCCGGATCTGGCCACAAAGCGGCTCTAACCATGAACTGCAGCTTCCGGTGGGGGTGGACTGCGCAAAAGGATGAGCCACTGTTGTTAAATTACACTATCCACTTTCTATTTATTTATTTTGGGGGTGGGGTGGGGGAGTCGGGAGAGAGAGAAGCCTGGAGGGCCGAGGAAACCAGGTGCAATGTTTACAAGACTGGTGGACAAGTGTAAATATGGAACAAAGAGCAAACAGTTCTAATTAATTCCTTCTTCTGCAGTGTGGAAACCTATTACAATGCCCTTGAGTCGAGCATGAAGATACGTTACCCAATTAGGGAAATAAATTTGTTAATAAAATTGCTGAGGTCACCAGTGATTACTTGGTGCGCCTTATTACCCTTTCTGTTTGTTTATTCTGATCATCACACTGTACGGCAATTCCAAATTATGGGTGACTAGAGTGTACAGCAGGAACAGTTCACCGATTTCCTGCAATCCTTTGGGGATCCCGGGAGAGAAATGGTGGCTAATCAAATATTTGCATGTATCTACAAGGCAGGTACCAGACCTCATAAGTGGTCCTTTTATCTGAACTTTCTATAATGCAAAGTAAAATAATTTTATTCTCATGGCTAATTACCATCAACCTTCCAAAAATCCACACTTACAGAAGGAAAGAGGCCTGGACTAAAAAAAAAAAGAAAAAAAAATTTTTTTGTTTAATTTTAGGATACATTATATGGATTTCAAAGCAAGTTAACTTCCCTAATTATGTTTGGCTGAGGTAACGATGTGATTAATTTGCATGTTCTGCATCCGTGGTGGGAGAATTGAGTCAAAGTATGTTGGGTGGCAAAAAGGAAGTAAGCTGAAAACTAAATATTTGCTAATGACAAAATGGAGCCCTAACTACTGCTTTTTCTAGGCCACTTCCTTGCTTAAAAATCTGGTTCTACCAAGTCTGAGGCTCTCCGCCTCAGCTTCCGATTCCTGGCCCTGTTCTCAGCCCTAGGTGCTATGGGACCTGCCTGAGGATTTGGGGAGGAGGGTCAGCTAGAATATAAGTCTTTTAGGGCTGGCCACCCATGTCGCTAACTGTGCTACAGTCACTCTCCTGGCCCCTGTCTATGTGACCCATCTTCCCTCAGCCCCTCCCTTATTCAACAATGCCCTTCACAGGCGGCCTTCTTCCTGCTCTGCCAAACCCTTGAGGCCCAGACCAACTCCCCACATGCCCCTGAAGATGTCACCAACAAAAGTGCGCTTTGCTGCAAGGGGCAAAGCTGGCTACTGGTTTCAGACTGTGCTTCCCAGACTCCTGGGCTCAGAGGGGTCACCGCCGTCTGGAAATTTGCACAAGGCTTTGCTGACCCAGCTGAATGAGTCCACCCAAGCATTGCAAACCTAGGCAGAGGGAGAAGAACAGAGAGGTATGGGAAGAAAAGAAGATGGCAGCATGTATGTATCTGATCTCCAACGGGAGTTTACTTTAAAACGGCAAAAGAGGTGAGGGGGCCCTGAATATCCGGTACCCAGCAAGTGTACACTGAACTAAGCAGCTCTTCCCTGCCGATCTTTTTGCTAAGCACTGGGGAAGATCCAGCTCTTGGGAGCTTAGATTCTAGTTGAGGAGGCAAGAATCACACACAGGAACTGACAACGAACTGTACAAAGACAGTACCCAGGGACACAGAGGATTCATCTGTGTGGTGCAGAGGATCAATCCTCTAAGTTGAAGAGGTCGGTCCACAGCCAAAAGAGAAACACACATCATGTGACAGCCGACACACATCATAGAAACTGCTGGAGGAGGTGAGACCTCACTTAGGCCCTGAACAGTGACAAGAATGGGGAAGGGGCTGGCCGAGCGGAGGGAAGGAAAAGCCCAGCATGCTCATGAGTCTATGGACAGACCAACCCATCCAGAATGGGGATTTGGTGCTTGGGAGTGGTAAAGTGAAGAGGAGAGAAATGGAGTGAGCCCAGATGGTGGAGACACTTCAAAATCTGGCCAAGGAGCTTATTCATTTGTGATTACATTAATCTGTCCTTCTTTCCCTCCATTCACCCAACCAACGAATGTTTTCCGAGTGCCTGGTACAGACGGCACAGTGCTAGGACCTACGCAAGAAACACGAAGTACGAGGATCATGCCATTGTCCTTAAGAACCTTTTGACTTAATGAGAAGGTGAAAACCCTCAGGTGAAAATATAAGGGGTGCTTCAACAAGGCCTGGGGGCCATTTGTGCAGCCATCCAGAGTGCTGCCCAGGAGAGGAGAGGCAGCGAGGGCTCAACGCCACGTGGGGTGATCATGGAGGTGGTGTCTGAGCTGTGCCTTGAAAGGGAGGCAAGTCTGAGAGGTGATCAAGAAGGCAGGTACTACGGACAAGCACAGCAATAGGAATCAAGCATTTTGCTCAGGGAACAGCGGGGTGAGGGCTGGCCACAGGGGTTGATGTGAAGAGGCACCAGGAGAGACTAAGATGAAAATGGAGAAAACCCAGCACTTGAGGACTGTCAGCGGCCTCCGAACCTTCCACCTCTCCGACTTCCTCTTGTCTGGAAGCCTGGAAGGGCCTCCCCTCCCACAGGCTGGGGAGCTCTCTTCGGAACTGAGAAACGCACAGGTATTAGTCAGGGTGGGCTAAATGTTATAACAAACAATCGCCAAGCAACAGTAGCTTAACATTCCCATCAGGTTTGGTCAGCAGAGAGAGAGCCTCCGCTCCGCACAGTCACCCACGGACCACCCAACTTGTGACTCCACCACCTTCAAGCGACCACGAGGCCTAAAAGTTAGACAGCACGGAGGAGGCACACCCACGTTCCAGAGACAAGAACCAGCCATGGGCCCTGCCCAGATGCCAGCAGACTGAGATGTCGTTTAACTGTGTGCCTGGAAAAGGAAATGGGTTTGATGAGACCCTAGCCAGTCTCTATTATAACCTCCAAAATCCTCATGTCAAATTGATACCTGATTTAAGGAGGGAGGGGAGACATAAAGAGCGAGTGGGGGCGTGGGGGGCAGCAGGGGCCTGCCGGTGCCAGAGCTGTGGGCTCTGATGCAATGCAGACCCTTCCCCCCGGCTGTGTCCTCAGACAGGGAGTGGGAGCCCAGGGTGCTGGCAGACTGGCTTCCCGTCTCCCCGCCTCAGCTGCCCCATCTGCCCCCCCAGGAACTCTCACTTGGTCCTCAAGACAGGTGCTGTAGAGGAGCAACCCACTCCCGAACTCCCCAGCAGGGAGACCAAGGACAGCCGGGGACAGTCACCCAGCCCTGCCTCCTCCCGCTGGTGTTCCTGGTGCAATTGAAGAGGAAACTGAAGAGCAGAATGTTATTACAGCTTTTCCATGACGCAATGTCATCAGGAAGCCCTGGGCCTCTGGGCAGCACCCTGGCAGGTCCCATCACTCTTCCCAGCTGCACGGAGCCTTGTAGCCCGTTCTGGAAAGGGCAGGAAGCAGTCTCATAAAATAAATGGCAAGGCAGGACCACTCATCAGCAGCTCTTCAAAATGATCTAAACTTCTGACTTTTGATTTAAATCTGCATCCACTGTGGCCGAAAACATAAAACAGAAGATGAGGGAAAGAACTAAAATGAAGGCGTGGGTGCCAAGAACTAGAGGGGAAGGGAGGGAGGGACAAGCAGCTCTGGGACAATACCAAGTTGCGCACCAGCCAGGCGGGCTGACTTGCAGCCAGGTTGGGTCCTTTTCATTATGCATCGCTCAGAACTTTCTCCCTTCTGTTACTAGGCTGCCCTGAAATGGGACAGGAGCTTCGAGAGCTAATCCAAGTACCAAATCCGGAAATCTACCTGCTCCTGATTTTGCCCTTCACCTTTCTCCCTCAGACCTCTAGAGAGGAGTGTCTCACAGAGGCAGGTGTTTGATGGGGGGGCGGGGGGGGATGGGAATGGGTAGGTGAGGAAACCCGGGTCCAGACTCTAGATGTGGTCTGTTCTCCTCAGATTCATTGAGTGAGAGATGACTCTCTGTCAGGGCCTGCTGTCAGATAGTGACTAGTGTTTTGCAGGGATCCAGAATGGCAGGGCCACTCCTGAAATGGGGGCCAGGGAAGGCCTCTCTGAGGTGACATCAACTAGGGTGAAGGGAGGGAGGCAGGGCCCAGGGCAGACGACAGATGTCTCCACAGAGTGGAGGGGCTTTGGGTACATTGGGCTGCACTTTAGGACCCCATTAGCCTACCCCAGCACACCTTAAACACCTATGAGTCTTGAAAAGCAGCTCACCTCCAGAGAAAGGCAGCAACCTGCTACCAGCCTGCCCCTTCCAGTTCACCTTTACGCAGGGCACGAACTGACTGACTTCTCCCTTGCAAGTCCAGACTCACTTTTTATGGTAACATA